TGTACTTTTATGATTACCTGTGTCTGTCTGTGTCGGGTAACGGATCCCGTCTCTCTCTCTCAGCTGATTTTGAGTTGGCTCAGCTGCAGGACAGACTGAATGAGACGAAGGACGTGATAGAGAGAATCATTTCTGCAGCCAGCGCTGGCTCAGACAGGTGTGGATATCTGTCTGTCTGTCTGTGTGTGTGTGTGTGTGTGTGTGTGTGTGTGTGTGTGTGTTTGGATGTGACGTGTGTGTTCGCTTTGCTGCAGTTTGGGAGGAGCAGTGGCCGTGGATGAGGAGCAGCAGTTACTGTACCAGCTGCAGGAGATCACTCGCGTCATGCAGGAGGGCCAGTTCGTGGACACTGTCCCAGCAAACTCTGACCACTCCTGCGGCCGCGAGTGGGACGGTGAGATGCGCAGATCAAGTCACGTTTTGCTCGGAAATCATTTACACATCCTCTCACACATCGTCTTTATTCACGATTGGTGTGTAATGTAGCATCTTATTTTCGCAGGTCTTCCTGAGAACGGTGGGAAAGAGCTGAATGAGCATTTCTGTTGTGTTCATTCACCTCACATGAGCTCAGACGCACAGATGAGAGAGAGCGATGATCATGAGATGAGCGCGGAGATGAGCCGTCCTGATGAAGAGTCCGTCAGTGACCATGATGAGAGGACAGATGGCAACAGAAACACAAAGATAGAGGACATTTCTTTGCGTGACTCCACCAGCCAATCACAGCCAGAGACAGCAACTCTAACAGGAAGTGACATCACATCCGGCCCAGTGTCAGAACACAGCATCATCAGGCGGAGAAACAAACAATAATCCACCTAAATGATAACAATGCATTGCTTTATTGAAGATTCGTTTGCTGCATGGGCGCCTTTCACCTTCTATTGAGCACTAAAGGTCTTCAACTGTCTCTCAGTGGATGGTGTTTGTTAGACACACAGGAAAGAGCAGCTGTGTCAACATATCACACATGAGCTCAGGGCCTTTACAGCTCTAAACTGATGAGTATTGATGATCAATATCCTCTCTATTGTACAGGTACCTCAGCCTGTGTTCATAATGTAAACAATATGCAAACGTGAGGCGTTTCAGCTGCAGGAAGTATCTACTGAAATGCTGCATTTGGCACAAAACTTCCGATCATCTTGTAAATTGCAGAACTTGCATTTGAATGAGAAAAATATTAATTTGTGTTCAAATTTCTGCGACCTCAAATATTGTTATATACTCTGTATTTACACACTTAAAGAAAACAACCCACAATGTACAAACAAATTAATTTAACAGGTCTGCAATAAAAGTTTTTTTTTTTTTCACTTTTACACTGTTTTCACATTATCACAGAAAGCTCTGTAATTCCATTTCGTTTTTGTTTTGTTTATGTGCTTCTCATTTCATCACTTGTGTAGCAAACATTGTGATTCATGCTTATATTGTTTATGATTTATTCATGTTCTCTTTTCATACTTGCATGATTGCATTAATGTTTATCATTGACTGCTGCATGTGTTAATAAAACACCACAAACTCACATCTGATGTTTATTTCTTTGGTTCTCCATCCAGTGAATTGCATCTTCATTAGTTATTGAGATGAAGAGTTCATTCAGTGAGCTGATGATAATAAACACTGAACTCTCAGATGTGGCACATCATAACGGGATATAAAAACACGAGGGCTGATATGAAGATCACTGGTCTGGTCTGAACTACATCGATAAACTCTTTCAAAACAAACACATCCTGCATTGTGCCGTACACATGAATTTAATAGTGATTTTCAAAACATTCTTTTCCATAAAGACCTCAGGGTTTTTTCCTGGTTTACAGGGGCTCTATTCCCAACCAAAACTAGGTGTAAACAGGGCCTTAATGGAATAAAACCGAAGAGTAGATCTATTGTTAACATGATCTAATATGTTTGACAGACTGTTAGCTCTGGCATGATGCACATATATGTTAATTGATCCCAAAGCTTAGTGCAGTAGAATGTTATTCTTGGTCCATCAGTAGACTTCCTGTCATTTATTTGTCACTAATCTCATTCTGATTACCACATGCTTCTAACCAATGAATTTAAGATCTGATAGAGACTTCAGATCAGTGGAAGGTATTATACTTTGGCAACATCATCTACTTGCTCATTTCTAGAGATTTCATGTCTTGCTGTCTGAAGGAGAATGTAAGAGTCTGCCAGAGCCAATGACCAGTGTTGGGAGTAAGGCATTGCAAGTTATGTAATCAGATTACTTTTTTCAAGTAACTAGTAAAGCATTACTTTTTAAATACTTTGTTACTTTGTTTTTTCATTTATTGACTGACAGCTCTCCTGTGCCCATGTTGAGAGAATTCGGGAGTAAGTGCAGAGGAGTTGTGTGCGCTGTGTAAACATGATGTTACTGTAGTTCTACAGAGCCAATGAAATGCAGTTAGCATCTAACCAGAAGTGCAAATACTTGTTCGGTAGGCTATACCTCACGGTTTTATATGGTTTCGGTACAGCGGGGGAAAAGCTAAATATGATTTTTTTCTTTTTTTATTAATCATTGGTTTACTGAGCAAATTGTTCTTTCTTTAAATAAATTCAATTCAAATTTTCTTAGGGATAAAAATCTACCTCAGCTTATGCTCTAAACTAAGTCCTTTACAATTTACAGTTAACAACAGAGCCCAAACTTAAATTAATTTAGGCTACTATTTATTTTTAAATACAATAATCAACACTCAACTTAAAAAAAATGTATGCAAACATGTAAATTGCACATAATGCAGTTTTTCTACTTTAAAATTTCTACTTTTTGAAAATATTCATTTACACAGTGGCTGTCATAACTTGCTTCATAACGGATTTAAGCATACATTAAATAATTAAGACATCACTAACAGGTAAAGTAAAATATGAGTATAGACTAATATTTTGCGAACTAACAAGCTGTGGACACTGATGACTTGAGTTAATGAAATGATACGTAACATTTTGTTTACAAGCTGTTTTATTGACGTCTTTTCGCGGTTGAAACGCTGATTGAGCGATTACATGAGGCATGAGATGTTCATTCATGTTTATTTCACACTAAAACTAGTAGTAAATAGGATGGGATGATCGCACTCATCACGCCACATCTAAGAGCGTCAAAACGGCATTTATTGTTTGAATTTCCTGAAAAAAAGGACTTAAATTGAAATAGGAGACTTTGTTTCTTATCAAAAGTAACAATATAAAACTGGAAGTTTCCAATTCGAGTTCAACTCGTGCAGTGGTTAAAACAATGCTTCGGTACACATGCGTACCAAACTGATAGACCCGTGCCAAAAAATTTCAGTACGAATACGTGTAACTTACCATTATACCCCTACAAAATATATAAAACAGTAGAGTCAGACCCAATAGGGTCTCCAATAGGCTGCTCTCAGATGGTTAAGGATAGATGGCATACAACAAAAACTACTGGGCATGCGCACATCAATATAGCTTAATTTTTCTCACACTTTACAACAATTATTATGTTTGCATTATTGTAAGGGGTAGGTTTAGGGTTGGGGTAGGTGTAGACGTAAATAAAACAATCTAATAGGTAGAAAATTCAATTTATTGTTAGCTTCCGGTTTTTGCTGTGTCCCTTCTAGCCACAAACCTCTCAGACACCTGCGCTTCCACAAGTGACTTCACTTGCAATCTTTTTATTTTTTTTTTTTTTTAAAATCTCTCAGCATTTTACAAACGTAACCAGGTGGTGAAGACAAGAAAAAAGAAACATTGCAATGTCACTTGAAATCGCCACCTGCGACGTCACATAACTTGCAATCAACACAAATCGAGCTTGTTGCCAATAGAGACGAGACGCTGTGGGGGTGAAATGATTAAAACTAATTTAGTACCATAACATACAGGGTCCTGGCTGCAAGTCACCTCTAGGAGAAAAAGACAAGACCTGCAAATAGGCTTGTTTGAGATGCGCCTCGCCTGAAATGTAGGCGAGAGTAAGCGGCTGCAGTGAGGGGAGGAGTGAAATAAGCCAGTCAAGACGGACAGCTCTGCCCTGATCAAAGACAGATATCGCGTTATTCACACTCACGTGCTGTTGCTAATAAACATGATATGATTTCAGTTCTGTTGCTTTTATATGAAAATATGACGAACAAGACACTCAAAGTGCATGGCATTTAATTCCATACGACATGTGTATTTATCATCCATTTTTTTACTTTAATACAAACATTTTAGATTTTTATAGAAATATGACAACAATCACATCTCACAGAGATCGCACTGTCATAGTGTTTGGGAACATTCATGCATAATTTAAATACATAATCGCATGGAACCAGATAAAAAATTAAAACGTTTTAGAGGAGAACGCAGCATCAGTTGTCTGAACCAATGAGCATTAAGCTGTGTCTTCAGTCAGTCGTTTCTCATCATGCTTTTGATCAGCGCAGACGGTGGAGAGCAACTGCGCTCGACTGCTCAATCCGATACAGCCGCCTAGCCGTCGCGAGAGTTTTTTGGCACACGTCAGCGTGACATCAAAGCAAGTCGGACGTAACTCGGACACTTTTCTAACCGGCATGCATCTCGCGGTGATCACCGGTGATCGGTTCTGTGCAGATTTTGCTCATCTCAAAAGAGCCTGATCTGTGTCCACAGAACAGAATATGAACGCAATGCGCAGTCTCTCATTAAGCCTGCCATAGAAAACAATAAACACTTAATATGGCTTAATGTATTAAGATATTAAATGCTATTAAAAGATCAAATTAGGCTAATTTCTTATTTAATAATTTCTTTCTAATTTGCACTATGGGCAAAGAAGGGCTTACATGACGAACGTGAAACATGTTGAATGAAGCGTTTTCTGGCAAAGGAACAGAGAACGGACTTTATCTTCAAATAGACAATGGTAATGCCAGTCTGATTTTGAGAGTGTAATTATTAAATAATCTCACTGTTGTACAGTCTCAATGAACCTCCATAGGGAAAACACAAAAACACTCAGAAAGAAACAAAAACAGTTTTATTACTCTTAAACTCACAGATAGAAAATGAAGGTTTCATTGTGTAATGTATAATGTGTGAGGAGTTTAAATGTTAATTTTTTATTTTATGTCAGCGAGCCAGAGAAGCTCCAGTCAACTTGAAGTGACACAGACAGAACTACAGCAGTACATGTTAGTGCTCCATGGGTTCATCAGGTACAGCTGGAGCCGCTTCATCTGCTGGCTGGGCCACCTGCGGTCCACGAACACCGTCAATACATGATCACACACATCCTCAAACACCTGCAGAAATCTGCAAACTAACGCAATCCTCCTCACCCTTCTTTGGGGTCTCTCCTCCAGACCCTCCAGGAACGATGCCACATCGTCGTCGTCATAGATGGTGAACTCCGTTTCCTTTCCCACAATCCCAATGGACACGTTCTAGAGGAAACGAGCATTTAGAGGTCGCAGTGGTAATGAGTACGAGCACAGCGACAGGATGAAATATCAAACCTTTGTGGTCAGATCCTGTTCAGCAGGAAGAGTCTCGCGCAGCGCACGCAGACCATGCTGCACCAGCTCATTCAGACTACCTGAAAACAAGAGCACCATCGTCATCTGAACTCACGGAGAGCGTCTTTACGGATGAGATTATACAAGCTTCTCTGTGTAAAAGTATGCTTAATTGTTTTGAACTCGTACTGAACAGAAATTGTACTGACTTGTGGTATACTTCAAATCTTAAAAAGTATATATTATTTTTTTTGTTAATTTAACTGCAAATAATATAGTAGGCAACACTTTATTTTAAGGTGTCCTTGTTACACAGTACGTGTACTTACTATTATAATAACAATTAATTATGCATAATTACATGCAAGTAACCCTAAGCCAAACCCAAATCCTA